TGGCATCACCACATGGGTACTCAGGCCCTTTAAGTTCAGCATTATCAAAACAGAACTCTAATTTTTCTCACCCCTTGGTTGCTTTTCCTACATTTTCTATTCTGATTCATGTCACTATTATCCATCCAGTAAAAGGAATTATAAAATGCCATGCAGTCATCTAACAATTTTTAATGTATTAACTCATTTAGTTCTTCACTAAACCCTATGAGTTGTATTATCTCCTTCTTAAAGATGAAGAAAATGAGGTAGGGAGAACTTAAATAACTTGTCCAAAATCACACAGTCANTATTCAAAGTATGAGAAGGATTTGACATGACATTGCTGACTTGAAGATGGTTGGGGGATTATGGAAAGAGTGAGAAGAAAATGAATTTTGACAACAACCAGTGATCCTGGAAAAGGCCCATATGACCTAAATGAGAACTACAGCCCTGGCTGACGCCTTTATCTCTTCTTTGTGAGAACCTAAGCAGAAAACTTAGCTGATTCATACCATGCCTGGACTTCTGACCCTGGAAACTATGAGATAATATAAGGTTGTTGTTGTTTAGCCAATGCACACATTTATGGTAATTTGTTACACAGGGTAGAAAATAGAGATTCCAACTTTGTTCTCCTTTTTCCAAGATTGCTTTGGTTGTTATAGGAACTTTGCATTTCCATATAAATGTAAATTTTAATAAATTCAAAATGTTTAAATTTAATACATTAAAAAAATCTAAATTAAATCTAATATATGTGTAAAACAAATTTAAACATTAATTTCTACCAGAAAGGCTTTTTTCATATTAATTGAATCTGTAGATCAATTTCAGGGGAATTGACAATGAATACTGTTTCCAAGCCTTGAACATGGTATAACTTTCCATTCATTTAGGTCTTCTTTAATTTCTTTCAGCAGTATTTTTATCATTTGCAGTTATAGGCTTTTCATACATTTTATTAAACTTATGTCCAAGTATATTATGTTTTCTTATCATATTGTTAAGTATTAATTGCTTTCTTCATTTCATTTTCCAATTGTTTGCTGCTGGCATATATGAATACAACTGATTATTGTGTATCTATTACTCTTCAATTCTTTTAAATAGTTCATTTCTTTACATTTTGTCCACAGTTTATAATTTTTATCTGTAGAAAGGGCTATTTCAATACACTTCTTAGACT